AATGTGATCCTAAAGATTACCATATAATTTAATTAGAATCTCAGCAAGAATTAATATTAAAATTTGCAGAATTATATCAGAGTTATTCACCAGACATTGAATTTGGATTTAATACAGGAGGATACGATTGGAATTTTATATTACGAAAGTCGATGGTTCTTGAGATTTATGACCAGTTTGTCTCGATAATAACAAACACAAAGTCCAACACCAATCTAAAAATTCAAGAAATTCAGATACGAGTTGTTGATTTGGATATTGAAAAAGTAAATCAGAAATATGAGTTCGCAGGAATAAACATAAACAATCGGAAGATAAAGGTTAATCTTATGGAAACGATGAAATGTGAATTCTTAAAAATCCCAAGGACAATTTTTATCGATTTGCTAATTTGGTCAAAAAAAACATTCCAAACTGAAATTAAAAATACGCTTGATGTAGTATTAAAACATTGTGGTCTATCCGGCAAGATCGATTTACTGTATCTACTGGAAAAAAATTCAATCGATTTACGATGCATGTTTGTTTATGCGAATGCGATAATTTTTCATTATAACAAACAAATTTTAACTCAACTTGCGGTACAACTTTCCAAAAAAACCAAGATCCAGCTTGAACAATGTGAATTTGCCTTTTTAGTATCTGATGATGAATTGGAAGATTATGCGATTGAATTAGCATATTATTGTTCGGTCGATACCATGAGATTACATGAGCTTAATATCAAAAGAAACATTATCAGTGATTATATACAATTAGCAGAACTCTCATACGTGACGATATCAAATGTATTCACAAATGCTATAGGTTGTCTGGTTCGAAATCTATTTGGAAAATACTCATCTCAGAAGAAAATATTAGTTTCCTCGAGAGTAAAGAGGATAGTTGAGCAAGGGAAATATGAAGGAGCTTTAGTCCTAGTTCCAAACAAATCTTTTACTACACCTGTAGCGGATCTTGATTTTGCGTCATATTATCCTAACACAATAATCTTAAACAACATATCAACTGATACCCGATTAAACAACTTTACTACTGACTCAAATATCATAATTGATAATGAAAAAACCTATGGTATTTTCAAAAAACATCATGGTAAGCGAGACAAAATGGGAATTATGCCTTTGATGTGTCATGATCTTTTAGAAGCTTGTAATGAAACGAAACGGTTAATGAAGATTCATAAAAATGATAAATCTAAATATCTTTATTATTCGTCAAAATCTAACGCGTTAAAAATATTAGCAAACTCAGTGTATGGAGAAACTGGTTATAAATTTTCTCCGTTATATCGTGAAGAAATAGCGTCGAGCATAACAGCATTTTGCCACCACATGTTAAAGCAAGTAATCGAATTCATCAGTCAACTAGGCTTTATTATAATTTATGGAGACACAGATTCGATATTCTATACTTTACCGGAATCTTTTTTTATCGATCTACATCTTCAATATCGATCAAATTTGATAACTAAAGAGGAATATTGGCGAGAAATGGTGAAAATAATAATCGAGCAATCGAATATTCTTGAAACAAAAATAAATGAATATTTAAAAGAAAAAACAAGTTTTTCATATCTTCGTATGACATATGAGAAGACGATGTGGCCAACAATCTTTATAGCAAAGAAACATTATTTTGGGGTTGTACATGAGTCAGAATCAAATTTCACATCACCTTCTTTATACTTGAAGGGTGTAAAAGTTGTGAAGCAAAACGTATCAGAATTTTACAAGATAGTTGCTGAGGAAATGATTTGGTCAGCTCTCGGTTTCAATCATGAGGACAAATCCATAAAGCGAGAAGATATAGATCGCAAACAGTCAACATTTCAAATAATCAACAAATATATCTGTCAGAAAAATATATCGTTAGATTTGTTCGTGTTAACAGCAAAATACGATTCTGTGTACTCTCCTATATCATTAATCGAATTTGAAAAGTTATTCAATCCTCATTTACATGACAAAGAAGAATTAAAACGAATACGAGAAAAACAAAAAAACTCTGAGACCCGAAAAGGAAATCGAATGGTGATTGCATTTGCTTCTATGATGCAACGTAATAAAAAACCTTTAGAACCTGGTAGATTCTATTATTATATTGTGTCTAAAGAAGGCCAAAATAATAAGAATGTTGATACCTGGCAAAAGATGATGTTAACCGATGAGTTCGATCCTAGAAAACATAAGATAGATGTTAATCATTATTTTTATAGCTTGCGAGATATAGTTTCAGGATTAACAGAATACGATGAAAAGCAAACTATACAATTGATCCAAGAGTTATGTGAGAATCAAACACAGACCAGATTACAATATTCACGTAATGTAATTAATAAAAGAAAAAGTGTATCTTCTGATGAAAAATCTAAATGTAAACAACTTAAAATAGATTCGTTCTACTCAGTTTTAAAGAAAACCGAGTAGAATTTTAAATATGTAAAAAATGAAACAGAAATACACGTTCAAACCGTTCACTAGAAAACTATTTTTATTATCTTCATCAGAAAGCAAACCAAAAACTAAACGTAAATGTAAATACATCAAAGTTAAACATTAACGAACAATTCAAGTCGATTTCACATCAAACAACTATTTCTCGATTATTCCCAACGAGTTGATCCAAAAGATTTTCGATTATTTATACGATGAACCTAAATCTCAACTATTTTTAGGTTTCACATGCCACAATTTATACCAACAATATCAAGACTTTATTTGGAATCTATCAATTTTTAAATTTCATGGAAAGCTTAGTGATCCTTCTTTGTTTTTCGAAGTAACAGATTTAAAAAAAGCGAAAAAATTATCAAAAGTTACTTTCCATAAAAGATATTCACGTTGTTCCTGGTGTAAGAAAAAAGCGCTTTCATGTGGACCAGAATATCCTTGTCGTAATTGTTGTGAAGGTGCTTGTAAGAAGACTGAAGTTACAAAGAAAATATTTACTAATAATCAAGGAATAAGATATGTTAAATCGATCGCTCCTTACTGGTCGAGCAATATTTACCTGAGACATATTGATGCAATAGACGATCTTATAAAAAAGAGATGTAGAAAATGTCAAGAGAAAGCTGTTTGTTCTAAGGTTATATTATTAAATGGTACTTGTGATGTAGATATGTGTCCTTATAATCAACAAATCCAAGAAATAATGTTTTCAGAGTTTTATCAAAGAGTTGATAGGATAGCTCATAAACATTTCATGTGTGAACCATGTTATAATTCATGTCAAAAATTGGCCAATTTACCAATCATGATTCCAACTTTATGGACGCCTGACATTCCTTGGGAGTTCATATAAAAAGACGAAAAATCCTTTCTTTGCAAAATTTCAACATGCAACACAAAATTTTTGATAACAATAAACTTCATATAAACGAATATATCGAATTGCAGAAAATGTACGAATCATTACAACGATCCAAGTTTTTGATAGATTATCTTACAAACAACGAATATGATATTGACAAGTTTAACAATATTATGTTACTTGCTGAGAAGAGAGATAAGCTAAAACAGCAATCAAACACCTATTCTCTAACGATCGAAGTTATCTCAGAAATAGGGATGATAATAATAATAGAAACATTATTTGATACCAAATTCGTGAAAGAGCATATATTTTATTAATTTTATTTTCTTTATTCTTGTATTTTATTAGTTCAATTCAATTTAGTATCATTTATTAAAATACTCATTAAATCAATAAATTTATCTCTGTTCAGTATTTTTACCGAACAGAAACTTATCACCATAATTATGCCTCGTCAAAAACATATGACAAAGAAGAAACCTT